TCTGTTCCTAAGAACAGTCAACGTAAGCTGAAAAGATGAACAACCGTTGCAATCGCCCAGTGCGAGCGTTGAGATTAAAGTGCAACTGCTGCAAAAATTCCAGAGTCTGCCTTTACAATGAATGTGCCTATTTTAATTTTTTCAAGTGAGGCTTTGTATTAGAAATTGGTTTTCATGTTTTCATCTGCTGTGAAGACTTTATTTTAAGGATACCTCCTTGCTCATGTGTTGCTTAATGCGGTGCTTGGAGAGTAAAGGTGTTACATATTTTGGATTAGTAATTTTTTAATTATTTTTATTTTTTTCCCCTCGCAAAACCAGCAGACCTTTAGTGGGATTCTAGTCTTATTTTCTCAATTCAACACCTGATGAATCTGATTAATTGTACTCTAGTAAAGTTGTTGCTATCCAGATACAACTGACAGCCTTGGATGAGCCTAAAAATCTTCCAAATTCTTAAAGTTTCAGGTTAGAAGATATATTTTTATATATATTTGCCTGTGCAGTGAACCTAATTGAAACTAAAATGCATTTACCAAGGAATTTGGCATTACTATTTGTGGTCATTTTTCAGATCGTAGCTGTATTCTGCAACCTAGTTCTAAAAAAAATATGAGAATTATTTTTTTTTAATAATATTTGAGATGTTCTCCCAAAACCCATGTCTGGAAAAGATTTTCTTCTCTTCCCTGCATTGCAGTGCAAAGCTAATGGTAACATAACAACACAAATATTTGTTAATGTTTCAGGCTATATTTTTGCTTTTTTAAAATAAATATGGGTATGTTTAATGTACCTTGTATAGTTTCTGCCATTTTAGTAACTGCTTGGGGGGGGGGGGGGGGGGGGGGGAGAGAGAGATAGAAAGCAAAAAATGGTATCTTTGAAAGATAAGTATTTTAATAGATAATTATGTTCATCATCAAGACTGGTGGTTTTGCTTTATTAATTCATTGCATAATATTATGATGCCTAAAGCTGGTTCAAGCTTACAGTTGGTCTGTCATAAATTGGCCTTAAGTGGCCTGTTATCACGCAGCCCAGTCCAGTCGTCATGTCTGCTAGCTCTGGAGTTTGCCAGTAAATGGCGACAAGGTTAATATTTGATTACTGGGTATTATGAGCTCTGTGTGTATATAAAAACTGATCATGAGCAGCTTTAATTTATGACAAAATATTTTTAGTTGACATGAGAAAAGTTTATCTTCACCTCAAGGAGTGTTTTTCCTGTACCTTTTTACAAGCTGAATAGTGACTGAACACCAGAGCCTCATCTGAGTTTGTACTGTTACTAATCCGGAGTAACCCGTTGTCTTTATTGGAGCTGTTCTATAACTCAGTTTTGAGTAAAATCAAAATATTGCATTGAAGTTGTTCAGCTCCCTCTGTTCAGTACCCTCTGGGTACTGTTACATTTAGGCTAGGGGTCAGCCTGGCTCCCTCTCCCTTGCGTTAGTCTTCGACAAAAACTTGTCTCCTTGCAGAAATCTGACGTGGGAGGGCCATCAAAACGTGGCCAACCTCTTACCTTAAAGTGGTGATAAAAGAGCATGGTATATGTTCACTTTAAAAGTGCTCTCTGTTTCATCTGCAGTGCAGAGTTTGACCTATAATTTAAATCTTGTTAGGTCAGAGTGTGCTTTCTATGGGATCCGTTCAAAACGTGAAAGAGGAAATGAAATGGGTGAGCCAGCGCAGACAGTGCCGCCGGATTACTGGTAGCGGCAGGGAGTTTCTAGCATAAAATGGGTTTTGTCTGATGCACGGCGTACAGGGAGGCTTGGCTGAGAGGAAAAGAAAATGCATGAGAGAGACGGTCACTGATCCTTAAAAATAATATTTAAAAGTGTTCTAGGGTGTGTAAGGAAAATAAACTTGTAAAATAATCCAGCACAAACTTTTTAGAAGGAAGTGTAGTTTTTGAAGTACCCTTTTTTTTTTTTAAACAAAGAATACTGCCAAAACATGTCCTGAAATTTAAAAAGATGAAAAAATACTGTTTCTAACCAAGTGTTCAGGACCTAAAAACTTGAAGGCTGCAGTCAGTTCAAGTGCTGTTTGAGACAAAAATAACAACCCCCGAGCGTCAGGTTTTCCATTCTTGCCGCACCAGGTGAATGGGTTGTTTTACCGAGGGTTTACACTGCGGTGGCGGCGCGGGCCAGAGGAAGGGAGTGTGAGGGTGGTGAGAGCGCCGAGTCAATGCCCGACTTGTTGGGTGTCTGTCAGGCCTTGGAGGGCTGCGGCTGGCTGCGGTAGCCTTGCCAAGTATTAGCTAAGTGTGTTGCTTTGGCAGCAAAGTCTCAGAACGGTGCTTTTTATGAAGAGTGAAAATAAGCTAATTTTAAAGAGAATAAAAATCTGTAAGGGCAGTTACTTTGATGGCTGTTTCAACCTTCACCTTGAGTTTCTGAAACTTCTTAAGTAGCTTTCTATTTTGCATGTTTAAAAACAAACAAACTGTATTGTCTTGTATTTTTTTCTTTTTTGGGGATTTAACAGTGCTCTCCTTTTTAAATTCCTGATAAGTGTTTACTAAACTCATCCAGTTTTAAAACACCATTCCAGTCTGAAACGCGTAGTACCTTTTCAATTGAGTTTGATAAACAGAAATACTACAGACGAGAGCGCATCCACTTCAGCAGCCTTGAAAAATAACAGGGTGACTTAACTCACGCCAGACGCTTCTCAAGCGTTCCATGTAACTATACTGGATTTACCTTTCTGTTGCATATGAAATAACTAATTACTATAGCAACTCTTCCTTCTCATAGTATTTACCCTCATAATTCTGTATTCCCAGCAACCCTAAATGCAAACCAAAAAAGCATAGCGTTCTGTAAACTGTATGGCAGGACACAAGAAAACAAAATATAACTTATATGTTTTATATAATTTATAAGTACTTTTATATAGTGTTTCTGTACACACGCACACATGCACGCACGCCTTAAAAACATCCCCTCTCTTCATCCATCTCTGTGGGCTTCGAAGACACCGTTCGGAATATAAATGCCTTTTTACCGCTGCTCAAGGGGGTGACTGTTTGCACTGTGCTCTCAGCTTCCTGCTTCCCAGGCCCCTGGAGCCTGTTGTACAAAGCAAAGAGGCCCAGAAATCTGGGGATGGGGCACGAACAGCCACTCCTGAAAAGTCAGGAAAGACACCTGCTTTTCTTCCTGACCCACCTCAGGTTTTCCCCATTAACTAAATCATGTAAGACGTGTATCATTGTTTAAGGTCTGCTGTGTTGTATTGCTTTGCAATACAGAAGATACGGATCTCATTTCAGAGGAACTAATCCTGACATTTCCTAAGTTGAGAATGACAAGAAGGGAGAAAAGTGGTAATACATTCCATTCCCATAGCACCTGGGAATGTATCTAGCTAACGTGGGAAGGCTACTGAATTACTGACACGCGTTATGGGGACACAGGTTTTGAGGGCTGAGGAGCAAGACAACGAGAGTGATGTTCTCACCTTCCGTGTCACTCACTTCATCTGGCTGAATTTCTCAATTACCTGTACCTTTGGGGATCTTTTGGGACTGTCTGCAGGCACGTGAAGGATCTGAAGGATTATAGGATGATAAATCTCTGCTAACTCAGGACAGGTTCTCAATGAATACGGATGGCAGAAAACATGATTTGGAGAGCAGCATGCTAAACAGTTAATTCATCCAGATATTTCTGGAAAAGGGAAGTGGCAAAGAGTGCAAGATTAACAAATAAGGGGGAGACCGGGACCTGACTTTGCCAGTGACTACGGAATCAGAATTGTTACAGTTGTGTACGGTTTTGTAGGGCCTGCCACCTGCATATTGAGAAATAAATAAATTACTGGAAGAGGCATGCCAGCGATCCCGCTCTGAAACCGAGCCTGCCGTTCTTGCCATGGCAATGTGGCAGTGTTCAATGACAGCAGAACAAGTCTCTAGTCAAAAGACTTTGAGGTGAGACGCGGCTTGGGCGCACCAGATTGTGGCCCCCTGCACTTTCAGCTTTTTTTTTTTTTTTTAGTGTTTCCCAGCTGAGATTTAGTAACTCCTTTCCGAGAGTCCTAATTCGGGTGCAGTCAAACCGGGTGTTTTAGGCTATTGCTGACTGCTGTTCTCAGGGGCATGTTGCAACCTCCCAGCCCAGACTGGCACGCAGACAGTACGTCAGTGCCAGGGCAAAGCAGGGGCTGGATGACGTGGCCGCCTGCGCCCGGAGCAGGGTGACGCAGGCCTGCGTGGCAAGGGTTTGCACGGCGTTGGGGGTGAGGTCTCTGCCTCTGCTCCCTTCCAGAGCAAAACAAAACAGTCTAGCTCTTAACGGTTAGCAGTTAGAAGTCATTGGTGTGATTTTTGTGCTGGAAGAGAGCACAGAGGAACAGGCACACGTAGGGTCTGCTGAGAGGAAGCTGAGAAATCGGCCTCTTCTTGGCTGTTGGTTGGTGCCTTGCGGTCAGGCTGCGATCTCTGATAAAACCGCATGAGAAAATAATCAGCTTATGTATCCAATCGGTTTTAGCAGGTGTGCTGTGAATGAATGTGAAAAGTTACTTTATTAACTCTGGATATGGAGCCAGTTAACAAACATTAAGGTTTAATTTTCAGACCAAAAAAGGAATAATGGGTATTTGGGTATTAATTACTATAGCTGGTTCTTGTGTGCTATTCTCTGACATGACAAGAAAAGAGGCTCTTACTAAATCAATATGTTCTGTTTGGAGAGAAGGAAGTATTTTATTTTGTCCAGCACGCCATGTCTCTTCTGCATAATGAACATGATTAGTTATTCTTCTGTCATTTATGAGTGTCTCAGTTGTCTGTGGCCAGATGCAGTTATTTAGTTAAACTGCTGTGAATAGCAATAGCAAGAAGTTTCTCATTCCTCTTCTGTTTATATTCTAATTAATAAATATATTAGTTAAATATATTTTATTACTACTTTTTGTTAACTAACTTCAGACATCTAAGAAAAAAGAAACAAATGTGGTTATATGTTTATCAATAGGCCAAGTTCTTGTAGAAATTTCAAGGACACACAAGAAACTTAATGACTGCCTAGAGGAAAGTGTAAGTTAAATTTTTTTAACCTATTTAACCTTTTGCAATTATAAATTACCTTTTTGCTAACTTTTTTAATAACCCTTAATTCATTTGCTTTTAAAGTTCAAAAAATTTCATAAAGAAATTATATCTGAACTGGAGAAGAAAACAGAACTGGATGTAAAGTACATGAATGTAAGTACACTGAGCTCTAGGAGCAAAGAATATCATACTTTATATATTTGTTGCTAATCATAGAATTTTTTCAGAAATTGTTCAGTAACAGTCACTTAATCAATACATTAGAATTGAGATGTAAATATATAAAAATGACAAAAAACATAAGGGAACCAGTGCATGACGTAATAGCATTTTTAAACTAAAGTGGAGAAAAGCAATTGGCAAATTTATTTGACGTGAATTAGCTATATCTAATAAACATGGGTAACGCTTTTTAGTCACTTACATAGTTATACTGTTGTACGCGTTATGGATGTTTTAAATGCTCTGTTTACAGGCAACTTTAAAGAGATACCAAACTGAACACAGAAGCAAATTAGACTCTTTAGAGAAGTCTCAGGCTGAGCTAAAAAAAATCAGAAGGAAAAGTCAAGGAGCGCGAAATGCAGTGAAATATGAGCATAAAGAAATGGAGGTGAGTGTATTGTCTCATTTGTCTCTTTTGTATGAGAGCTGGTCAAGAGACGCTGTTAGAGTTTGCAACTGAGTCTGTTCTAAAACCCAACTCACAAAGCTTACCCCAGCTTTTGTATGTGCACTATAATTAGTTAATGCACATAAATCCTATACATTGTTAGGCAACAGTTAAGCTCTAAAATTTCAAAGTACATGATGTTTTTGATTTCTCAAAGTCTATTTGTCTTAAAGGCAGCGCTGAAGTATGTATTACAGTTGAAATCAAGCTTTGGACTGCAGTGCTGTTTATATCCAGAGACTTCTGCTTCAGTTTCTAGGATTAATCCCTTGACCACCACTACATTTTTTTCAAAGCAGCTCTGTGACTAAATGTTTATGCAGAGGCTTACACAGGGAGTTAGCTATGCTATGCAAATTCAGCTATAATTTGCTCTAAATTTATTTCCCAATGTAGGCACATGACAATTTCTGTTATCACCTCTCCTACTGATCTTAAAACACCATTGCCATCTTGAGGCGAAATGGAAAATGGGAAGGTAATGAAGAGAAATTTGATTTGAAATGCTAACAGTCATATTCTGGTTGCCATGCGTTTCACAGAAAATATTTGTCATGGGTATTTTTAGTCACACAAATGAAATCTTTATTTCACGTTAGTTTTTATATTTTTTTCTCTATATCTTTCTATTGTATTTTTCTTTCCAAAGAAAGCATCGGTTATAACCAGGTCCAGCAAACATAAATAATCTTAGCTTATTTCTTACTACCTGTCTTTTAACCTGCATTCAGGAGAAGGTGAGTTCTTTTTTTGAGGTATTAGATTGAGAATTCAGAGATTGGCATTTAATCATAGCCTAGCTGTGAACTTTGCTGATAACCTTAGATAACTACATTTTAGTCTCTTTAGTGGCTCATGCTCTCCTCTCCACAAAGCTATGAGGAATCTATACCTCATTGTAAGGGTAAATATAACTGCTATGAAGCAGAAGTAGATGAAGGTAATTAGTCTAACTAAAGAACACCCATGGCCTTAAAATTGCCCACTCACCTGCTACTGCTTTGAAGACGTAGTCTTATTTGCTCTGGAATTTTATTCAGAGATTAAAAGACTTTTTATTGTTTTATTTCACTGAGTTTTATTTTCGTCCTCTAAATAGATTATTGATCACCTATAATAAGCGTATATA